AAACATGCAAAGACCTGGAGTTAGAAAATGAAAAGAGAAGAACATGCTCAGCATTTTCCAAGCTGAAAAAACTGAAGAAAAAATTCAAGCCTCGGGTTGCAATTTTGAAGAATTCTATTGGCAAAATATTGAATGACACAGGAAGCATCAAAAGAAGATGGAAGGAATACACAGAGTCACTGTACGAAAAAGAATTGGTCAATGTTTTACCATTTCAGGAGTTAGCATTTGATCAAGAACCAATGATACTGAAGGAAAAAGTCCAAGCTGCACAGAAGGCACTGGTGAAAAACAAGTCTCCAGGAACTGATGGAATACCAATTAAGATGTTTCAACAAATGGATGCAGCACTGGAGGTGCTCACTTGTCTATGTCAAGAAATTTGGAAGACAGCTATCTGGCCAACCGACTGGAAGAAATTCATATTTGTGCCTGTTCCAAAGAAAACTGATCCAACAGATTGCAGAAACTATCAAAAATATCTTTACTATCACACCTGTGACATTAATGTGCTGAAGATCATTCAAAGTGGTTGCAGCAGTACATTGACAGGGAACTACCTGAAATTCAAGCCGGATTCAGAAGAGGATGTGTAACCAGGGATATCATTACTGATGTTAGGTGGATCTTGGCTGAAAGTGGAGAATACCAAAAAGATGTTTACTTGAGTTTTATTGACTATGCAAAGGCATTTGACTGTGTGGATCAGAACAATTATGGATAACATTATGAAGAATGGGAATTCCAGAACACCTAATTGTGCTCATGAGGAACCTGTACTTAGAACAAGAGGCAATCGTTTGAACAGAGCAAGAGGATACTGCATGGTTTAAAATCAAGAAAGGTGTGTGTCAGGGTTGCATCCCTTCACCATACTTATCCAGTCTGTATGCTGAGTAAATAATCCGAGAAGCTGGCCTATATGAAGAAGAATGTGGCATCAGGATTGGTGGAAGACTCATTAACAACCTGTGATATGCTGATGATGCAACCTTGCTTGCTGAAAGGGAAGGTGACTTGAAGCACTTACTGATAAAGATAAAAGACTACGGCCTTTTGTATGGATTACACCTCAACATAAAGAAAATAAAAATCCTTACAACTGGACCAATAAGCAACATCATGATAAATGGAGAAAAGACTGACATCAAGGCTTTCACTTTACCTGGATCCTCACTCAATGCCCATGGAAGAAGCAGTCAGGAAATCAAATGACATATTTTCCCGGGCAAATCTGCTGCAAAAGATCTCTTTCAAGTGTTAAAAAGCAAAGGTGTCTGACGATTAAGGTGTGCCCGGCCCAAGCCATGATATTTTCAGCAAGCCGTGATATTTTCAGTTGCCTCATATGCAGGCGAAAGCTGGACAATGAATAAGGAACACCGAAGAAGAATTGATGCCTTTGAATTATCGTGTTGGTCAAGAATATTAAATATACCATGGACTGCCAGAAGAACAAACAAGTCAGTCTTGGAAGAAATACATCCAGAGTGCTCCTTGGAAGCGAGGATGGTGACTTTGTCTCATGTACTTTGGACACATTATCAGGAGGGACCAGCCCCTGGAGAAGAACATCATGCTTGGTAAAGTAGACGGTCAGCAAAAAAGAGGAAGACCCTTGGAGAGATGGACTGACACAGTGGCTGCAACAATGGGTTCAAGCATAACTAAGATTGTGAGATGGCGCAGGATCGGGTAGCGTTTCGTTCTGTTATACATAGGGTCGCTATGAGTCGTAGCCAACTCAAAAGCACCTAACAACAACATGCTTACTGCTAAATTGTCCTCTGGAAAGTTTGTACTAACTTATACTTCAACCAGTAGTATGTTCATGACCTCAGGAATGGCTTTTTTTTTTAAGTGAAAAGGTAAAAATACTATAAAAATATTTTTGTATTTGAGAAAAGTTAAATATAACTCTCCATTCATGTAGTGAATAATTTATTTTCTTCAAAGGTGTCAGGAAGGTAGAAGGGTCTTCTGCTGCATCAGAAAAAGAGTCAGATGGTATAGTTGTTTAACCTTAGTCATTTTTTAATCCCTTTCCTCATCTCTAATGTGAGGATGTTTAAATCTGCCCTAGTAAACCCGGTGTTTTGTGAGGATACGGTGAGATAATGCACGTGAACACACTTTGAAACTATAATGTTATGGTGGTATAATGGATTGCTTTTTGTGTGGCCTTTCTAGCTATGGTCTTGTAACTCCCACCTAGGTAACTGAGTGGGAGTGTGCAACAGGGTAATCGAGGCCCTCTAAGGCGATTGGTCAGTTTTGCTATCCCGCTGGGCTTGAAATGAGAGGTAGGAAAGAGAAGAGCCCACCACCACCAAGGAAGAAGAGACCAGCAGCAGAGACTCACAGGACAGACCCGCAAGAGACAGTGCAGTGGGCTTCCCGTCCCACAAAGCAAGAAAGCTGAGTACCTGTGGGCAGAGACTGAGGGCCAGGGAGAAGCCTATGCCTGACCCATGAATTTGGGACTTGTCATCCTCCACAATCGCATGAGCCATTTCTTTATATGGTTGGTTCCTGAGTTCTGTGAGACTTATTGTAGAGAATTAGGGAACCCAAAGAATGGAGAGAGAGTGCTGAGTGGAGAGGGAGTAGCTGATGTTAGAGATGATGCAGTGGTATAGCAGCTTGGAAAAGTTAGACGTTTGGAACATCTTTAACCTCTGCCTCATAGGAACCAGCTTTGTACTGATCCTTATAAAAGAAATTACTCGTTTAGTTATACAGATGGAAGGTAGTATTTTAATTTATTATTATTGATACATGCACAAGGAAAGACTGGGTAGATGATTCATTAGATTTTTGTTTCATTAACTTTCATATCTTATCTCAATCTTAATATCAATAATTTTCTCCATTTTCAACCTCAGTATGATCAGAAAGGTAATTTTTAAATCAATTTTATTTAGTTTTCTTCTATTTACTTGAGAAGAGAGAAACAATGATTTTGCCACACAATTACAGTTCAGTTTCCAATTCCACTAACTTGGTTTGTTTCAGAAAAGGAAAAATTGTCTACTAGAGATTCATTTTTAATCTAAGAATATCTGGTACATATACAGAAAATTTGATTGTATTCCCAACTTGTTTATACCAGTGCCTAACAGTTTTGTTTTCAAAGTTATGTCAATAGATTTTCATAAAAAAGATAGTTTGAAGAAGATCAGTCTGAATAATTATGACCAGATGAAACACAAAGCCAAGGAGAAAATCAGTATTCAGGGGGCACCTGATAAATTTAAAAGCTAGCACCCATCATACCTTCACTAAAAGAGGAAGAATAAGGAGGGAGGAAGGACTAGGAGGACAGAAAGGAGGAAAGGATAACTTAAGAAATACTGAATTTTAAAAAAAGGTAATGTCTACCAAACAATCCTGTGTCTTGGGCCCATGAAGACTATCTGCCTCACTATCACTATTGCTCCCAATAATTCTGATCACTGCACTTGGCCAAGGGCTAAAATTATTAAAGGCATTCAGTTTCAGCACTTGCATTTTATTAAATCTCTTTGTTTGCAGTGTGTCTTTGCTAAAGAACTTTGGTAATAATTTGCAGGAGGAGGTAGGGGCACAGAAAGGGAGAGACCAGGAAGAAAAAGAAATCTTTGTCTTTTTTATTGCCCATAGAATAATAAAATGTAAAAGGTAAAAGAAATAGAGTAATTTAGTACAATCCTTCATTCTAAAGTTGAAGAAACAGATCCAGATGACACAAAGAGATCAGTGGCAGAGTCAGGAAAAAAATCTGCTCTTCCCACAGTACCACGTTGACTCTCTTTTTTCTATCTTATTTTAACCCCAAAACCGAGGATTACCAGTAATCAAAAAGATCAGTGTTGCTGCCACAACAAGTCCTGATCTCTCAGATTTTTCTTTGTAACTGAGAGTCTGTGCTATCCCTAGAATTAAAATACAGTATTTTACATTGCAATGTAGTAGACCGTGCAACGCGTTTGCATTATCTCATTTGATCCTTACAAAGACCCTGTGAGGAAAGGCAAAAAAAGGTATTCTTGTCCCCATTTTAAGAATGAACAATTAATGCCCAGAGATGACCAATGACTGGCCTAAGATCACCTAGAGTCAGGAAGGAGCCAAGGCTCTAACGCTACTCCTAAATTTGCTACCAGAGAGGAATTCCCGCCTTCCCTCCCTCCCTCCCCCCCGCCCCCCTCTCCCTTCCCGTCCCCCTCTCCAAAGCACCAATTTGGCTCTTTAACCTCTTGCCAAGGAGTCCCCATACCCAAAGGGCGCCGCACTAGTTTAGGGAAGCTTGAGTCTAACCACCCACAGAAGAGATTCCTAGTTTGATTCTAATACTCACCGTTAAAAGCGCAGTTTCTTATCCTTTCCCTTGGTCCTGCTCCTTATTTAGGCTCCTATTTTTATCTTTAGTTTTGGCCTTCTGGGTCTCACTTCAAAGCTCCACCCTCTCGGAAGAAAAAGTCGCGTCCTATGTATCCAAGGAGACCACACACACACACACGGACTTGCCCACCTTTCCCCCTTTCTCGTTTTCCATTGGTCAGATAGATTTCCATCTAGATTCTTCCGCCCCTCCAATGGCCAATGGGCTTGAAGCAAAGAGCGCGCCCCTTCCGAGCCCAGTCTAAAACCTGACGTGAGTAGCCTGGCTATTCTGTGAATTACCTCCTGGGATTTGTAGTTTCTTTATCGGCCAGAGCCCTTCGATGCGTGGTCCACTTAGAACTACCTATCCCGTCGGCCTTCGCGAAAGGGGAGAGGGTAACTAGGAGTTCGGATCAGGTTTGATTGGAGCTTTGAAATCCCAACTGGTCGCTGAGGCTTGCGCAGCAGAGATTTAAATCGCCCGGCAGAGTTGGTAGGCCTGTTCTTGCTTCAGCAAACCCTCGCAAACGTCTCACATTGGACTTGGACTTGAGGTGGCTCAGTGGCCAAGTCGGCCTTTGCAAGTGACCCTCCCTGTGACTGAGGTGATCTGAGGGGGCGCGAGAGGGTATGCCATGTTCGCCCTTTGCTCGGGCTGGGGGTGCGGGGGCCTTCGGCTCTGTCAGCTCCGAGGGTGGATCGGCGAGGCCGTCGAGCGCGGGACCTGTCGGGCCTACCACGGTCGGCGGTACGGCTCGGGCGGGTGCGACCGCCGGCCAGGGTCGGAGTCCGAGGTCACTTCTCCTGACCCCACGCGCCGGGCGCTGAAGGAATGGACGCTGCTGGTGAGCCCCTTCGGCCGGCTGCGGGCACGGCTCCCGTGCGACCTGACTGTGAGACCCCTCGATCCCTTCACGTACCCGGACGCTGACCGCGTGCTGGTGGCGGTGAGCAGCGTGGAGGGCGGGGCACAAGGCCTGGACAGCCTGCAGGTGAGGTACGATGAGGCGCGAAAGGAGATGGCCATCGTGTCTGAGACTATCGACCCCCAGGCATCGGTGGAGGTGGACGCGCCCCTGAAGTTCGGCAAGTTAAAAGGGTTCGGGTTCTAGCGCAGGCGTAGTGAACATTTGCTTAAATTACGCGGACGTGCACTTTTAATTGATTCATTTTGAACTGACTTTCCAACCCAGTTGGCAGTTGCCCCGTTTGGAAGCTGCTGCTTTTTTTTTTGTTTTTCTACTCTCAGTTTCCAGGTAGTAGTTAGGAAGTAGGTTTCCAATTATAGAAATTTTATAAATAGAATGGAAACATGATTTGGATAAATGGAAGTCAGATAATGTGCGTGGGGCCCTTTATGTTCTCCTTGGGAATTTTCTTTCTATTTCTGTCATTGCACTTTGTCATTACCAAACTGGTTTAATTTTCAGGATTATGGTTTCTTGATAATCCACTCAACGGTATGGGAGTCCATCCACATCTCCCTTTGCTCACAGCCTTGGGGATCTGACCTAAAGACAGACCTATATATTAGATGTTCCATGTCTACCCTGCACCAAGTATTTTGGTTTCACATAGGCACCCAGCTTTTTACTCATACACCTCCATTCTTCCTGGCTTAAGTCGGTTTTCTGTGAGTAGCAGGCAGTGAAAAAAAATACGTAGTTAAGACTGCCTGAAAAACTTCAGTTGATAATGCCCGCAGGATATGTTTCCTAGGTGTTTGGGTTCCATGTTATTTCCCAGAGTGCAGGCCACTGTGTATACAACGCTTTTCTGGGAAGATCTCCCCAGGCTCCCATTCTTCCTGACACTGAGGATAATGATCAGAATAATAGCAGGTAACATTTCTAGGATAATCTTTTTTTAATCCTTACAATTGCATTATAAAGTAGATACTGTCACCATTTCAGAGGAGGAAGTTGAGATAAAGCAAGCTTCATAAGGTGAATATTGTGGGTGAACAAACAGAAAAAAACCCATGCCTTCATGAAACTTACATTCCAGCAGGCATAGATCAAGAAGTGTGCCTACTCTCTCTCATACGAGGTGGTGAAGCTGGGATTTGAACTAACTCCGCTTAACCTCTGTTCTTTATTGCTTCTCAACTTTTAACCAGTCTTAATGAATAAGAGACTCTGCCCTCAAAAATATATCAGCCTAGGGTGGGGAGAAGGAGTTGTGAATATATTACAGTGGTACAGAATAGACTGAGTATTGAAATAGAGGTAAGCACAGTTATATGGGAGCACAGATGAAATGGATACTACTATGCTGGTGATCCCAAACCTTATTATTTGTTATGGTTCCTCTTTTTAGAGCCAGAACTCCATTTCCAATTTACTGTTCCCAGTGTCTATTCCACAGTCACCTCAAATCAATATAACTCAATTTTCTTGACACCTCCTTGTTCCTCCAGTTTGTCTATTACCTGTTTCAGTGAATGGGTGAGAGTAGCATTACTGCCACTTAGTGTCTACCCTTAGCTTCTCCTTCCCTCACCTACCTACCCTGTGTATCTTTAAAATTGATTTGCTTCTCTCCATATCTATAAACACTGTCCTTAGATCAGGTCTTATGTTGTAACACTACTTAACTGGGTAATAAATTTTGCAATTATATTTGCATTCATGTAGTGTGGGATAATGTTGTATTTTTATTATTTTAGTTTCGCCAGGAAGTTTAAATCCCAGCCAAATTGTTACTATAATTTTAAACCTTTATAGACTAGAGACTACCTTGTATATAAGTATGGAGATGGATTTTATGCTGTAACTATTGAAATTTTGGAGTTAGGACCCAATATTCTGTGTCTGGGCAACAGAGTGCTTATTTCTGTAATCTGTTTTAAGGGAAACCATGAATATTTATGTGAATTAGGTATTAAATTTCAGGACTGTTTTTTTTTTAATACATAGTTTTAAAAGTTGTTGTTGTTAGGTGACGTTGAGTTGATTCTGACTCATAGCGACCCTGTGTACAACAGAACAAAACACTGCCTGGTGCTGCACCATGCTCATAATCTTTGTTATGCTTGAGCCCATTGTTGCAGCCACAGTATCAATCCATCTTGTTGAGGGTCTTCCTCTTTTTCGATGATCCTCTACCAAGCATGATGTCCGTCTCCAAAGACTGGTCCCTTCTGATAACATATCCAAAGTACATGAGACCAGGTCTCACCATCCTTGCTTCTAAGGAGCATTCTGGCTGTACTTCTTCCAAGACAGATTTGTTCATTCTTCTGGCAGTCCATGGTATATTCAGTATTCT